GGGCGAGCATGTTTGGTGGGACTGGGATTCGAACCCGCGACCCTTAGATTGCAAGTCGAGCGCCCTAACCACCTGGCCATGCCGGGCGATAAAGGATTAACTGTCACACTCATACTGCACCCACATCTTTAAGTGGGGGGGGGGGATTATTTCATGGTATCGCACGGATTCGAAACCGAAATTCAGATGTTAATGTCATTTTATACTAGAGAGATCAGATCTCCTCTAACCCCTCTTTTATCAAGAGAAAACAAATTCAGAGATCTTAATCTATCCTCATATGATAACCTTTCCATCCCAAGTATCATCATAGTAGCCCTCCTCGGAACCCTTTCCAACAACAATTTAATGCCTGTTTGGTTTCAGAGCAAAGTCACACTGGGCTCTATGTTGTGTCCACTGCGGTGAATCGAACCACGGATTTTAGCTTTGTAAGTTCGTAGACTTATCGCTGTCCCACCGGGGGACACAATTCAATGTCCCTTCTGTGGTAAAGAGTCGAAGACTGGACATAATACTGATAGCTAAGGACGTTTTTGGAAGCTACTTAAAAATAAATAAACTTAGTACTTTTTTTATTGATCTTTGAGAAAATACGTGCTTTGAAAATGACTTTATATTTTAATATCAATGTGTATTTCTGTTTTGGTGAACGCTCACATGAGGTCGCGGTATTTGTTACTCAGTGCAGAACGAATATTCAAGGATGCCTAGTGAAAAAAATGGAATACTTTTTATTTATATTGCTTGTTTGGTAACATTGACGTTATAACAAACACTTTTCTTGATTTGTACCAAGCGAAGAAAATTCAATACAATGAGATTTTGTGAGCGTGACAATTATTATAAAGTTGCTTTACAGTGGTTAAGGCGTGACCGCGAACACAGTGTTAGCAAGCTTCATTTTTATAGAACACAAAACGTTGTGTAACGTCCTTAACATATTTCAGAAAGGGGAGAACATAATGCGTTGTGTAACGTCTTTAACAGAATTTTAGTCTGGTATACAATGTGTTGTGCGATGTCCTTAAAAGATATCAAGTCTAGTGAATATAATGTCTTTAAATGGAACAAAACATTTCGACCCATAAATAATTCATTCCATATATATATATACTTTAACGATGGGTCTTTCTTGACCTCCAGTTTAAGTATATAATATCAAGTCTAGTGAATATAATGTCTTTAAAGGGGACAAAACATTTCGACCCATAAATAATTCATTCCATATATATATATACTTTAACGATGGGTCTTTCTTGACCTCCAATATATATATACTTTAACGATGGGTCTTTCTTGACCTCCAGTTTAAGTATATAATAACTTCACCCCGGACCCAGAATTGAAAGAAGAACGTTCAAGATGTTTAACCCTAGAATGCCAGCGTTACATTTTCAATCATTAACACCAGGTTGTATGGGGTCATAGTGATCCCACGCTGGCGTTCTAGGGTTAATTATTTAAACATATTGAGTTATCTGTGCTATGCCAAACACGCGTATCGAAACTCCGTTTTTAGTTTTATACACCTTCAGACATACCGCTGAACCACTAGGGGTCTATATTTAGATGAAACACCCTCTTTTTCGTGGGGTCAAAATATTTTATTTTTTGTTAGACAGTTTCTAGCAACTTTCAACTGATAGTTCAACGGTGGCTCAGTGGCAAATTTATAGCGCAAGGATTTGGGGTTTGATATCAGCGATGAATATGATACAGATAGCTCACTGTGCGTTTGTGCGCTAAAAACAAAACGACTATTTTGTTTGTTTATTATTAAACACAAAGCCTCATAATGGGCTGTCTGTGTTTTTTTTAGCGTTATGAGCATTCAGACTCACCACAGAGCCACTTGGGAGGGGGGAGCGAGCGTATCGTGTGCAAAAACATGTAAATGTAGAAATAATGAGGTTGATTTGCATAAACAGTGCGTGAAAACTGAAAAATGATAATGTTATAAATAGTTTTACATTTATGCCTATCAAAACATAAAAACTAGTTCGCCGATTTTCATCAGATAACTTGTGTTTTCATATATATTCACCTCTTCCTTAAATTTCCAAGTTTAGAAGTTTCAAAAATCTTTATGGTCAAAGATTTATATCTGAACAACGGCCATTCTTTCTCAGACAGGGCTGGACCTGACCTAGTGGTCTGCGTACCGAACTGTAAATCCAAGAACTCACGGTTCGCGTCCCATTGCAGCAAAATCGTTTTTGCACTTTGAAGCCGTTGGTGCGTCATAAGAGAGACGGTCAAATTCCGCTGTTTGATTAGAGTAGCTCAAGAG